GATAGATAGATAGATAGATAGATAGATAGATAGATAGATAGATAGATAGATAGATAGATAGATAGATCTGTCCTCTTAGGGAATTGATCCAAGAGATTTGAGAAATAATGAAAGTTACTTGCTCTGATCTGCCTCCCACTTTCTACTCCCCCTTCCACATAGTCCACCTCCTACATGTTAAATGCTTAAGCAGCATATGTTGTTTGGAAGTATTCTTGACTTTTCCTATTTCTTATTGTTTTAATTTCCCTGGGTCCTATTTAATATTCTGCTTAATCAGTGGAACCTTGATTACCTAAAAGAATTGTAGACTTAGAATTAATGAGGATAACCAGAACATCAGAACGATGAGGAGTCTTGAGATGGGAAAAGATGCCTGATGAAGGGCATGACCAAAATTCAGATCCCCTGTATTGTTTTGCTGATTTATTAAAAGTGATTCTATTAATTGATTGAAATAGCAAAATCTGGATAATCAGGATTTTTGCTGTGAGCATATTACAGAAACGTAGAATCAAGGTAACCTTGAATTCCACTTCTTATATTTACAAGGCAATAAAAGTCCTAATAGACTGTCAGGAACAAATGTGAATGTTCTTTCTGAGACTCCTTCAATTAAATATACTTTATGTCTTTCAATCCAGATTAAAAGGCAATGTTAACAACCACTTTGGTTGCATGCTAGCTCTCCCATACCATTTCCCTTCCATACTTTTTGTTTCTATTCTGACACATACATGTACATGTGCATGCCAGTCAGTAAAACCCGATGAAGGGAGTGTGAGTCATTGCCTATAGATGCTTAATCGCTCTAGCGATGCTACTTTGCATTTCTTTTTTCCCATTCATTTGACTCAAGCACTCTGCTGTCTTAGAGCAGAAGCTTCTCCTTGGAAAAATCAGGCATTCATCAAAGTTTCTAGCCTCATGAAGAGAAGACACTGCCCAACAATTTAATACAAATATTCAATTATTTTGAATTGTGCAGCCTGAAATGGACAAGGATATTCTCCAAGATTATATCCCTCCCCTCAAAAAAAGATCTATATGAAAAAATAGCTAATTTGATCAAAAGTAGCAAACCTCAATTGTTTGGAAATTCAAATCACATTCTTTGTATGTTAGGCGTGAGGGGAAGGGGATAGAAAAGGAAATCAATAGATTGGGGGCTTTCCACGCCAGATGAACTTAAGTTGATTTTGGTTTTTTTCCCATTTTGCAGCCAATGTGTGTGACAACGAGTTCCTGCACTGCCAGAACGGAGGGACGTGTCACAACAACGTGAAATGCCAGTGCCCAGCCGGCTACACTGGCATCCTGTGCGAGAAGCTGCGGTGTGAGGAGGCTGGAAGCTGCGGCTCAGACTCCGGCCACGGGGCAAGGGCACAGGGCTCTCTCACTCTGCTTGTGGCTCTGCTAGGAATAACTGGCCCACGCCTCTTTTAGGCTTGGTGTACTCTATGGCCTCAAGTTCAGCCTACTGATGGGACTATACCACGGGGAAGCTAAACTAATACAAGCTTTTGCTACTAACATAGCAAAATACACACACACACATGTTGAAAAACAAAAACAACTAAGAAGGCCTAACTGAACTAAGCCATATTAATCAATCGTGGACAGCAATTCTGAGTCGAGACTGTTAACTTCTGACTCCAGACAAGTTGGCAGCTGCTGATATTATTACTACAAATCACAACGCCAGCTGCAGGACTTACTGTGGATTGAAGGGGCTGTAAAAAGCCCTCCCCATTCTCACCCCAAAACAGGGAAAAAAAATAAAAAATAAAAACCAACAACCTAGAAACACACACACACACACACACACACACACACACACACACACACAAACATCTATGCCTCTAATCTGGTGCGCTCTCTTGTACCTCTCTGCCCAGTGTGTGGACCAACCAAATAGAAGCATTCTTTGCTGTCAGTGCATTGTGGGTATAAGGAAATCTGGTCAAAGCTGCCATATTGGCCTGCTTCAGTCCCTGAATCCCTTCCAACCTGTGCTATAGTGACCGTTGCTCTGTAAGTAACCCTTGTTGGTTGAAAGATTTCTTTGTCTGATGTTAGTGATGCACATGTGTTACAGCCCCTTCCAAAAATATCTCAAGACAGTCATATCCTCGTGTATCTTAGCAGCACTATATCACTCCAGTGCTGGTATACACCTACCATACAAGAGTGGCTATAAGGGAAAAGAAAAAGAAAAAAAAAAGAAGTGTATCTATCCTTTTGTATTCAAATGAAGTTATTTTTCTTGAAATAATGTACAACGTAGAGTTTTTGTATTATTGCCAATTTGTGTTACAAGACAATCTGTTAATGTATTTGATTCTAATCAGATAAGAAGACGGTTATATTTTCTTTGTCCTTTTTTTTCTTTTAGTTTAGTTTTGTTTTGTTTAATTGTGCAGAGATCCCTCTGTATGAGCAACGTGCTGGCATCAAAGAATATCAGTTTACATATATAAAAAGTGTAATAAGATTCCACCAAAGGACATTCTAAATGTTTTCTTGTTGCTTTAATCTGGAAGATTTAAAGAATAAAAATTCCTGCATAAACGATATCAGGAATTGGTATTGCCATTTCTTAAGACAAAGAGAAGCCGATCCACAATCATTTTTACTATTTGTGATGTGGACTGAACATACATTCAGCAGCTGAATTTAGGACTCAGCAAGAAGGCTCACCGTTCTTTATCTTGGACAGCATCGGCAAAATACGGGACCATTTCCACTTGAGGAAATTGTAAAAACAAATGAAAAAAATTCTAAGGCTCTGCCAAGATTACATAAAAGCTTTTTGGCAGCACCTCAGAGGGACTTTTGTTAAAGCCATGTGACTTCGTCAGATTGACAATGACACATGATTATATGGGATGGTGAACTATGAGACTCTTTAAATGCAATGTTTACAAGGAGTGCCCATAAGAGGCAACCTGGAGATCCAGGAAAGTTGCAGGAAAATGAAAAATTAGTCATTTAACTGAAATAAACTCAGATTTAGCATTTAGATCAAGTGTCAAAATATTCTGCAGCAAGTAGTCACAAAATGCTACTCTGGCAAATAAAGTTTGCTTTGAGTATTGCCCAAGGTGTAATAATTTCTTGCTTCTGCCTTTTATTAGGCTACTTATGTTGTGTGATATCAAGGGAAAGAGGAGGGGGTGGATGACAGAACCATGCAAAGTTTCAAAGGTATGAAAACTCAAAGGTGGCTAAAACAATGTAGATTCCATTTCCAGCAGGTTGTCATCTTACAGGTAACCAATAGACTATCAATATCACCATGGGGATTTAAAAAAATGAGTCATCAACTTAGCATGGAGTTTGGGGAGATGTTGCACATGACCTGTAGAACTATATCCTGTAATATTTGAAAATTATAGAGGACTTAGTTCCAGCCGATTCATTCCTTGCTGCTGGAGAGAGCAAGGGAAAGAGAGGGAGCAAGAAAGCATGCGTGCACGCAAGATAGAGAGAGAGAGAGAGAAAGAGAGAGATCTTAGAGATGTCTTCTGGTAAATGCCCTGGGTAAACACTGTGGAAGAGAACAGGCTGTTTTATTGGTTTTGTTCCCAGAAAAACCAATTCAAAAGAGGCAATAAAAGGTAAACAGGTAATGTCTGTGCTGCCAGCCACCCCACTTCCAAGTCCATTGGATATTTGTTATTCATACCAGCAGTCTCTGTCAATGTATGAAATAAGATAGGATGAAAGAAACTGGGGCTTTGGATCAGAGCCAACAGGACCAGCCCCAAATTGGAGACTTACATTAGATGTGCACTCATGAAAATAAACAGAAAATTATATTACAAGCTCACCCAGGAAAATAAATGCAAAGACAAGTGACATATGGAACTGGAGATTACTTATAATTAAGTGGATTTCTGATATTAAAATTGGAATTTCAGTTGTCTTAAAGTTTATTAGCACAAACCAAAGGCAGACTGTGTAATTATTGGAGAAGATGCACTTTAGCAATCCTTATCCATTTACGGCTTTGTTGAAATGCTCAGGAGCTGTCCGCTGCTTATTTCAAACAGAGATCCTGGAAATTAATTCTAAAGTTGAATGAATGTCATATTGCAAATCATCCTTCTGAGTTTTGTTTCTATGGAGGTATCATCATCTCTAAATGAACATGGAATGCATTGTTTTCAGCAAACTTAGATGTAGTTCACTGCATTTCCTGAAATAATGCAGCCCGCATTTAATAAAAATACAACTTTAGGTATATAATTAATGGAAATGGAATTTTCTTTTTCTCCTAGATCCATCATTTTTTAAAAGCACATAACTTCAAAACAAATTCAGACTTAGATCATTTGTTCGACTTTGCACGTTGAAGCACTTAGAGTAATTATCAAACTATAGTATTGAATCATTTTAACAGAATTATGAGAGAATCAGCAGGACCAGAAATGTCATTCTTTTGCTCAGAAATCTTCATTGGCTCCCATTGTCTTTAGGATAAAATAGGAACATTGATTCATAGATTTAGATGTGAATGAAATGTTAGAGGTTACATGGGTTCTATCCTGTCAAATAGAAATCTCTCAATTTGTCATTTATGTCCCTCCATAATCTGGCATCAATACTTGATCCTAGCCTTGTTTCACATCATTCTCACTTATGTGCTCTGTGTTCTAATCAAATCAGCCTCCTACCTATTCCCCAATCATATCGTGAACTCTGCCACCTTCATTCATTTGCAGAGGTCATAAACCACATGTAGGGCTACTGTCTTCTAGTTTCAGCCTGTTGAAATCTTTCTCTTCCTTCAAGACCCAGTTCAGGTGACATCTCCTCCATGAAGTCTTCCCTGATCACTCCAGTTAAGAGTGAGCTCTCTCTTTGGGGATAACCAGAATCTAATTCATAGTCCTTGAATAATTATGTTAAACACTACAAAGATGAAAAGACTAACAAATCCCTGTATCTTTTGAAATCTGCTGTGTTGAGAATATTATGCTCCCCTTAACAGAGACATAATACCACAGACTCAACTACATATGCTTTGTTCTGCTTTTAAGTCCTAGCCTACTACTTACAACCTGTAGGAATTAAGCTTCCTACTTGGGATTTCAGGTGTTTTTTCTTTTTTTAATTTGTAAAATTAGAAGGTTGGAATGGGTGCTATCTAAGGTCCCTTTTAGCTCTGAATCTATGATTCACTATAACTTTCTGACTATATCCACTGTGCCACTTAGCTGCCCCCAATTATACTTTTCTTAATGCAACTGATCAGACAACAGAAAGGCAGCAGAGATAGATCAGTAGACACACTGCCTTCTGTCCTTTGTTCCAATTTGGAGGGGGGGAGTGGGAAGAGCTGAATAGAGGTGAGAGTTCTGTAATATTGCATTTTAAATATCAAGATGATTTCCTCTTCACCAACAATATAATCCGTGGAGCCTTGGGTTTTCCTTAGAGTACAATGTTTAGTTCTAGAGAGCACATTTTAGAAAAAATATTGATAAACTAGAGAGTGTCCTGAAGTGAGCAATCAGGGTGATGATATTCCATATGAAGGCCAATTAAAGGAACTGGAGATGTTTCACCAGAAGAGAAAACTTAAAGAGATATAATAGTTCTCTTTAAGTATTTGAAGGGCTATCAGGATAAAAAAAATCAATTTCCCAATATTCCCTGTAGGAATCTGTAGATTGCCATTAGAACAAAATTAATGAGTTTTTTGAATCTTTCTCTTCCTCATGATTTCAGTAATTTAATGCAGAAGCTTTAGTTATACCTTTTATAAGATGTCATTCTGAAATGGTCTATATGTCTCTCTGCTATTGACATCTGAAAATTTCATCCACAGAAGTTTCAGCTATATTTCCTCAGTCACCACTTTCTCATTCAGCCTTCGTAAATGATGACAAGACCTTTCTAGGAAAACTTAAATGGGAAAGTCTAGGAAATGTGTAAGAGAGTATGGGAACCTCAGGAAGAATACAGATTATGGAAGGTTCCATATGTGTGTATATATACTCACATACATAATATATGTATTATATATACATTTGATACATATATAATATGTATATTAACATACATATATAATATGTATATTAATATACATATATAATATGTATGTTAATATACATATATAATATATAATAATATAATAACCCATATATTAATTATACATGTTTACATCTTTGAGGGACATTTTTTCCTCTGAGAAATTGTCTATCATTCCAGGAACTGTTGTTGTGTGCTTGCCCCAGACTTTTTAAAAATTTTCTTCTTTGAGAGCCCTAAAACACATAGCTACAAAATCCCTTATCATACTGAACACAAAAATCATGCTGATACATAATTGGAAGTCGAGAAATACTACAGCCTTGAAACTGCTAGTATTCTTTTGCAAAAAATTTTACCAGTGATTCAGGAAGTAGTGAGCCAACCCTTTCTGTTTCACAATTGCCACTGTCTCAATCTTCCATTTGAAGAAATAAAACAAACTGAAGGGTCCCAATATTTTAGTGGCAAATCTGAAATTCACATCATAACTAAGTATGATTCTTGTAAGAGGTTTATATTAATATCAAATGCAAGTGCAGTTATTTCATGAGTGTTTTTTTCTCTTACATAATTTAATGTGAGTCTCAATGTAATAGAACGATTATTCTAGGATACATTTGGCCCAGACAAAACAAACAAGATTTACCCCATGTCTTTAGGCATTGCTTTAGTCTGAATGTTGAAATATTTGATCAATGACAACATCTCCTCTTTGTTTTCTCTCATAACCTGAAAGATGTTGTCAATTGACAGAAGAATTAAACTTCACTGGTAACATTTAAGATGATGTGATATTTTTCACAACCCATTAATAATAGCTGTAGAAGTAGGTCATTATTCCATTAACCCTAATTATGTTAACACTGAAGATTTAACAAGATGGGCTAAAGAAAACTGGTGAGAACTAGAAATAAAACAAATATCCATTCTGTTACCCTAGTCTCATTTTTTTTTAAACTGAGATGTCAGTATTATTTAATTAGTGAACTGTGAATTCTAGGAAGAAGATACTGCCTGGCAAATGGAGAAAATAATTACTCCTCCTATATCTGTCTGAATATTCTTTGAAATTTCTGGGTGGTAAGAATATATCCTTAAGTTAAAGACATATTGTACATACCATGGCATGTATCGGTGGCACTGTCTGATCAGCCAACATTAGTGTTTTCCTTTTATAAGGTGCCATTGTTCTAATCCAATAACAGAGGGAAAATGGAAGGAAATCATCCAATTGAAGTACTATTAAGAATAGGTGATCCTTCTTGCCCCAGGCAGGTCAGAACATAATGTCATTTCTGTTAGTTTATATTTGGGTTCTGAAGCCAATGTAGCCCATGCTGGGAATGGTTTTCCTTTAGTCTGTCTGAAACACTGCAAGAAATGGTCTCCAAGGAAATTGAGTCTTGTTGTTTACAAGTCATTCCCCTACCCCCTCACCCCCCATGAAGACATGAATAATTGTCTGTGGCTTTCATGCTCTGATGAACACCTTAAGGCAGAGAGATTAGTGGCATCATTCTCTGTCTCTTTTA